TATATTGTCCTTTTGCGAAATTGTTTTTCTCGAGTATAATACAAATAACAACTTCGAAAATAGCATTTTTCTGGATCCGCCAATGGTTTTGTGTATATGCGCTAAACTCCCGCCTCATTTTATGAATGAATCTGACCCCTTGCATCTGGGTCGAGCGTGGGCGGGAAACTGGAATTTTCCTGGAAAACTCTATACAGTAAACATCTTCATTGCGCAATTATACTTTCAACCTGTGTGTTATTATTTTGGACTGAATTCCCAAGAAGTTTCTTTCAATATGGCTTGGATTTAATCAAAAATAATCAACTCATTCGGTTTATTTTTGTGAAAACTTTGATGGAAAGTGACTTTCCTGGATTGAAGCATTCTGTATAGTTTCAGTCAAAAACCAAAAAAAAAGACATTATTCATTTCACCACGTCCATTGCCATATTAGCCGCCTCTTCACTCAAGCTTTGATTTGACCAATAACATTAAATAATTGCCCCATAGTTTCAATATCACCTTACGTAATTATTATTGCCGCTTGTATAGTATTTTGCCACTTTTGTATTCAGCAGTGCCCACATATAATTTCAACTTCCTACGCCAATGGATACGTCAGAAGAATGGAACATTCGCTGAAAATTTACTAGTAGCAAAATCGCATCAAAGTTGACTGTTTTCACATTCATGTAGAAGTTCCCCGAGCTCAGAATCGTCTATTTCCAAATATAGTCTGTTCGACCTACACCTAGTGACAACGTCATAACTGTTATAATATTCTTATTCGCTACAGTTCTTATATTATTCAAATTAGATCCATAAATTGATATTAATAGCGGAGATTAGAATTTTAAATATTCAACTTGGCCATTGGGATTTTGCCTCAAGAAGGAATAGAAGGATGACAATATATTGTTTAAGTGCTACATCAGCACAGCGAAGATAATAATTAAGAAAATGATTTCAGAAGATTCGATAAGAGGAGAACTTTCCAATTTGCACGAAATTTCATCAGAAGAAAAACATCGGAAACGTCATATTAAATCCAAGTTTTACTGTCCAAAAGTTTTGATGTAGTAGCTACAGTAGAATTTGTAGGACTATAGTATATTTTTTGATGACTGACCCTTTAAACCTCCTACAGAGTGACCCAATACTTTCATTAGCCTTACACATACAGGATTTTTACAAACTTCTTCAAGAAAACCCACCCCAAAGGCGTGATATATCCTTCAACAAACAATAGGTATTCGGGTTTCATTTCAGGCGCATTTTCGTAAATAATAATACCCATAGGCGTAGGAAAAAGATTTCAACAATGCTACTTCGACTAATGTTTTATTTAAAAATCTCCTTTATATTTCTGTGGAAGAGAGTATTTCAAAGACCCTTGCCAAATAGGTATAAAGCTCTATAAATGATTTATCAATCATCAACATTTTAAATTGGTTTATGTCACGATTCAGTATCGGCGTTGCCGAATTGTTGTTTTATTCTTAGGTAACGTTTTATTGAAAATTATTATTTATCATCATAGTGTGTCCATAAGATAAGGATGGAGTAGCATTAGGATCTGAAAACGGTTGGAGTTACAATTTAGGAAGAAGTTGGGCAATTTAACTACCTTCTACCAAAGAATAATTCAGGTAAAATCTTCTGAGTACGGCTCTGAATGCTTCAAAAATTTGTATTGGGAAAATTCATAATAGTAAAAAAGGAAAAAATCACAATTTCTATCAATTTTAGTCAGTAATGATTAAAAGAAAAATATACTCCATATTAATGATTTTTTCTGCGATTGACAAGAAATTTCAGCATTTTTGACCGGTTGACAGGTCGCAAAATTCAATATTCTGGTATTTTAATTATGTTTCAATAGTTGCTAAGGCTTCAATGAATAACAATACGAGAATCACTTTTCCGGCCTAGGCCGGGAAAGTGATTCTGGTACTGCTGAATAATTGGAACAAAAAGACAAACATTCAACAGACATTTAACAGATCGCAGAAAAAATAGTATGTTCATTTCGGTGGAAAAGCACATTCTCGGCCTTCGCTGTTTGCCGGCCTACGCCTCGCCCGTCAACTTACACCGTCGGCCGAGAATGTGTCACTTTTTAACAGACTAAATACTAACACACTAACATACTAAATACACAATATACTATTTCTATTCCAGGCTCTTGAATTTTCTTTATTTCGACAAATTCAAGAGCCGGGAATAAACAAAAATTGAGCTGAAGAAAACATCAAATTTCTCAAAAATTTCAAATTTTTCCAATTGAAAATAACAACATGAAAAATCTTGAAAATCTACTTACAATCACCGAATTAATTGAAAATACAGTCTCATACATTTCAAAAGCTTTCCTGGAAAACTAAAAAAAAAAAACAAAATTTTGAAACTTTTTGTATCCAAGAAGGAATGTTAGGAGCTCATATTTCCAAAATTTCAATTTTTTCCAGTGAAAAATAACAACATGAAATATCTTCAAAATCAACTTAGAATCACTGAATTAATTTAAAATATAGTCTTACACATTTTAAAGTTTTCCTGGAAAACTAATAGGGGAAAAATTTTGAAACTTTTTGTGTACAAGGACGAAAGTAGGGAGTTGATTTTCCCAAAATTTCGAATTTTTCCAGTGAAAAATAATATAATGAAAAATCTTGAAAATCGACTTACAATCTACTTGAGAAATTTTGGAAAAAATCACGGTTCGAAAAACGATATTGAAGGACGTCTTATTTTTTTTTTGAGGAAAGTGTTTGAAAGATTGGCTTCAAATTTTGCAAGTGGATAAGGAAAGGATTGAAATTTGGGAGAAAAAAATAAAAATTTGCTTTTCCGCGCTCACCTTGATAAAAATCAAAGCCGAAAGTCTTTGAAGCTTTACAGCTACGAAACTATTGAAGCTGTGTTGAGAATACCTGATAGAGATTTATAAAGGATTTCATTGGCTTCATTTCAAGCTTACTTACGTTAAGATCGGATAGAAATTAACAAAGATGTAAAGTAAAATGTGGTTCAATGTCATTTTGGAAAAAATCAAGCTTCAAAATCACCTTCAAGGACGTTTTATTTTTTTTTTGAGGAAAGCGTTTGAAAGATTGGCTTGAAATTTTGCAAATGGATGAAGAAAGGATCGAAATTTAAGAAAAAAAAAATAAAAATTTGCTTTTACGCGCTCACCTTGATCAAAATCAAAGTCGAAATGCTTTAAAGCTTTGCAGTTGCGAAACCATTGAAGCTGCATCAAAAATACCCGATAGAGATTTATAAGGTATTTAATTGGCTTCATTTCAAGCCTAATTACGTTAAGATCGGATTGAAATTAACAAAGATGTAGAGTAAAATATGGTTCAATGTCATTTTGGGTAAAATCAAGCTTCAAAATACGACAGTGAAAGACGTTTTATTATTTTTTTTGAAGCCACCACAAATTTTCCCGAATTTCCTTTTGATTTCCCCTAATTTTTCTACCAGATTCCTTTTGCGGTTAACCCCTAAGAGCTAAACCGCGGATCAGTTTTATTACATTAGATTGCCGTTTTAGGGGAAATTATAGATGATTTCTCATGATTCTTCTGGTTACCAGTAAGATTGTCCAATACTTCCCCTGATAACTTAACCTAAAATTATAAAGATTTTTGAAAACTGCACATGCGTTAGATCTAGAGATTTCTTAAGATTTCCCATGATTCCCATAAGATTTCCCCTGAGTTCTTTAACATTTCCCTTGCTTTAGTCTTATTTCATTATGATTTTCCCTGATTGGCCTAAATTTCCTTGGATTTCCTTTTGATTTCCCCTAATCTGTCCACCAGATTTTCCTTGCGGTTAATCGTTGAGTGGTAAACCGCAGGTCAGTTTTTTTACATTGTTTTGCGGTTTCAGGGGAAATCATGGATGATTTCCAATGATTTCTCTTGATGTTTTCTGATTACCAGTAAGATTGCCCAAGAAATTCTCTGATAACCGCAAATTATATAGATTTTTGCAAACTGCGCATGCTTTAAATCTAAATATTGACTGATTTCCTCAAATTCAAATTTATTCAGACTAGATAAATTACAGTTTTCATTCATTAAATCTAGGTGCATTATGGAAAAAAAACATCTGTGTGTGCACTTTTATGTGTTGTGTTGCTAAGCATCTATACAGGGTGTCCCACCGGGAACCAAATCGATCCATACATGAAAAACTGCATGCAGAAGATTTCCCATTATTCCTTTAAGATTTCCCTTGATTTCCCTATGATTTCCCCTGATTGCCCCAGATTTCTTCGGATTTTCTCTTGATTTTCCCTGCGTTTGTGTTAGATCTAGAGGTCGATTGATTTCCTTAAGATTTCCCATGATTCCCTTAAGATAACCCCTGAGCTCCTTGAGGTTTTCCTTCATTTCCTCTGATTTCATTATGATTTTCCCTGCGACTGCCTTAAATTTCCAGGATTGCCTCTTCATTTTCCCTAATCTTTCTGAAGAAAGTTGTTTGAAATGAAAAGTATATGAATATTTTCACTATTCCAGGCTCTTGAAATTTCTTTATTCAGGAATACTTGAAGAAAATAGCAATTCAAGAGCCGAGAATAGGGAAAAATTGAAACAGAAAAAATGTGAGAGAAAATTCAATAAAAATTGAGGAATAGTACAAGTAGGACTTTAAGTAATTTCTATATTCCAGGCTCTTGAATTCTATTAAGAATCTTTCTATAAAGAAAAATCAACAAATTTGCAAAGCACCGACCCAGAATTCAGAATCATAGAAGATCCTAAAAATATTCTCTTAGAGAAACCAGAAAGTATTGATTCAAATTTCAGAATTTTGAGAGTTTTATTAGGGAAGGAAAATAAAGAAAATAAACTCAGTTTTTACAGCAGAAAATCTAGAAAACAAAGACTCAGAATTCATTCCCTAAAAATTCTAGAGTTAAATCATCAAGAAATTTTCAAGGTTCGCAGAATTCAGGATCTTAGGATCTGTAGGTAGAGTCTTCCCAAAGAAATACTTACCGATGAACATTTGCCAAAAAACAATTCAGCATCTGAAGGTTCTTGAGAATCTAACGAGATCAAAAGGAGCTGAATCTTCTCTTTAGAAGAACTAGAAAAGTTTGCAAAGATCTGAGATTTTGAGCAGAATCTTTCTATAAAGAAAAATCAACAAATTTGCAAAGCACCGACCCAGAATTCAGAATCATAGAAGATCCTAAAAATATTCTCTTAGAGAAACCAGAAAGTATTGATTCAAATTTCAGAATTTTGAGAGTTTTATTAGGGAAGGAAAATAAAGAAAATAAACTCAGTTTTTACAGCAGAAAATCTGGAAAGCAAAGACTCAGAATTCATTCCCTAAAAATTCTAGAGTTAAATCATCAAGAAATTATTTGAGAAATTTGAGAAAAACAGAAATTCTAAAGCTGGGAATAAACGAAAATTGAGAGAAACTTCAATGAAATTGTCCAATTGAGTAGAAATTGGTTCACAACTATGACTAGTATTTTCACCATTCCAGGCTCTTGAATAAATTTATATTATTTAGAAGAAAACTCAGAAATTCAACAGCCAAGTAACGATAAAAATTGAGAACTGGAAAAAGGAAAATGAGGAAAAATTGCTAAGAAATTGATGGAAAAATATCAACAAATGTTTGAAGGATTAGCTTGAAATTTTGCGATAAAAATCAAAGTCAAAAGGATTTAAAGCTTTGCAACGGCGAAACTATTGAAACTGCATCAAAAATACCTAATAAAGATTTAATGAAGGAGCTAATTGGCTTCATTTCAAGCCTAATTACGTTAAGATCGGATTGAAATTAACAAAGATGTGAAGTAAAATGTAGTTCAATGTCATTTTGGAAAAAATCAAGCTTCAAAAAACGACATTGAAGGACGTTCAATTTTTTTTAAGGAAAGTTTTTGAAGGATTGCTTTGAAATTTTGCAAGTGGATGAAGAAAGGATCGAAATTTAAGAAAAAAAATAATAATTTGCTTTAACATACTCAGCTTGATAAAAATAAAAATCGAAAGGCTTTAAAGCTTTGCAGCTGCGAAACTATTGAAGCTACATTGAAAATACCTAAAAGAGATTTATAAAGGATTCAATTAGCTTCATTTCAAGCTTAATTACGTTAAGATCGGATTGAGATTAACGAAGATGTGAAGTAAAATGTGGTTCAATGTCATTTTGGAAAAAATCAAGCTTCAAAAAACGGCATTGAAGGACGTTTTATTTTATTTTTTGAGGAAAGTGAAGGATTGGCTTGAAATTTTGCAAGTAGATGCAGAAAGGATTGAAATTTAATGAAAAAAATAAAAATTAGCTTTTAGACTTTCACCTTGATAAATATCAAAGTCGAAAGGCTTTAAAGCTCGGCAGCTGCGAAACTATTGAAGCTGTATCGAAAATACTCAGTAGAGATTTGTAAAATATTTAATTGGCTTCATTTCAAGCCTAATTTTTTAAAAATCATCCCGCCCTACGGGCTCGTGATATTTTCTGTTGATATAAGGTCTGTTATCACAGAAATTACAAACCAGTTAGAGCAAATCATTGGTTGAAAATCAGAAAACTGATTGTTAGCGATTTGTGATGATGCTCCATCAATAAGTTGGAACGCGACAAGAACTCGTCACAATGTCCTTTAATTTAAACCCATTAGAAAACATCGAACTGAGTTCTTTTAAGGAACTTTCAATAGATTCCAGACAAATGTCTAATGTTTCAACGTATCTTTGTATAATAATAGAAAGTCAACATTATTACTTACCAGATGTGTTAGCTCCTCCACTAAACCACATCGCAACCAATTCGTCCATACTGGCTCCTGCCGATCCTGGCGGAGTTTGATGGTAAGTAGGATTACCGTAATAGTAAGAGGTGGAGTTTAAGGTATCCATTACCAGACGAGGTTGCGAATTAACCGAGTGCAAACCGGATGAATCTCTCCGGTTCGAATCCAATAGGATTTGTTGAACCTGAGACAAATAAGACAACTATATTTAGATTAACATTTAGAACTGGAAGTTCTACCAACTGAACTAATGAAGCATTTGATGCAGAAAAACTTGAATCCGGAATAAAATAGCAGAAACATTAGTAACTCAATTATTCGTAGAGGTGATAATCTAGAAGGCTATAGTTCTTACCTGTAAAATGTCAACAAATTCATCCCCATTGCTATTATTGTTGTTGTTGATGTTGTTGGAACTGGTAGATGGCACCCTAGTTGTATCAGTGTGCTGGCGCATCGCTAGTGTTAACATTTTGATGGATGGCTGCTCGGCAAGGGATGAACTTGCCTCTTGCCATAGAATTTTACAAAAAATAAAACACAAGCAAGCTATCTGGAACAAATTTCAATAATTATTGGTCAACGATGACTCAGTTTTTTTTTGCTTAATGATATGACCGTGATTTTTCTCAAAATGGTAAGACCAACTTTCGAAATTGTTACATACAAGATTGATTGTTGACCTTAATTTTGACTTGATTTCTAAACAAAGAACGCGACACAACTGTCAAAAAATTTGGTTCCACACAGACGGTCGAAGTAGTACCTGTTTGGCCAAAAACCAGTTAAAACAGGACCCGAATTCCATATTGGGAAACTGGTCCAGAAAAAGAGGCAATAAAAACTTTTGGCTTATGGTCGCAATTTTGAAGGTGACTCAGATGAAAAAATAATTTTCTTTGTTCTGTGGTATAAGCTATTAATAGAGAGTTTGTTCAGAAATCAATTTTGCTTGTAGAAGTAGTTGATTTCAATGTAGTCTTTGACAAGAAGCAGAAAGATGAAGTTTGTCCCATATGTAAGATAATGATGGAGATTTTGATAAACTATAATACAATCTTTCTAACTCAAAAATGAAGTTAAGTAAGAAATTTGATGATACGGTGGAATATGCGATGATTGATTGTGACGCAGTTATGATTAAGAAAGAAAGAACATAACCTTATATCTTGATATGTGGGCTCAACACAATTTTAATGATTGATTTCCTAGGAATGATTCTGATTCAAATTAGCAAGAGATCAGTTACAAGCTTTTTGTTGATGCTTACCAAAGATTCACATAAAATCGAAGTCCTTTATGAGTAAAATTCCAAATTTTGAGACACTAAACTGTCACTTGGCACTACATCACACACACATCAATCTCCACTAAAAACCACCATAAATTGCGCATTAATTGCTCAATTGATTATGATTGCACTCTGATGTTTTTTTGGAAATTTCTAGAAATTCCTCAAAACTATTCCCGAGCGCGATTTTTTTTTCTCTTCCCGAATTGAAGTGAGGATAAAAACTTAAAGTTCACCTCGCCACACGGTTTGCGAAACAACAAGTGATATCAAAAAGCGAGCGATGAATGAATCCCGCCATGTGAAGCCGAAGGGGGCCCACGTATATTTTCGGCGCCCCCGCAAAACTACGTCACTGTACTCTCGTGTTTGCCCGACGCTGGATTTTTATGGAGGAGCGTCGTTTTCCGACGACGACGTCTCTATGACGACGACGCTTACAGGTTGATGTAAGCCGGTATTTTTGGAAGTTTTTCATTTCGGGCAGCAGGAAATAATTTATGATGTCATCAACTCCTTATCTGGTCAATGGTATAACAATCAATTATTAATTACTGCTTCGTTATTCAAATTTCTCAACTGCAACAACGTTTTCTTTGGTATCTATCTGACCATTGGCTACAATTTGCCATGATTTATGGTGCATGAGGAAAAATGCACCATAAATTTAACTCTAGGTGTATAAATCTAAGGCATCGTTAGTAGAACGAACAGGCACTCGACAATAATCTGAAAACATGTATACTAAGGCTGGGCTACATTATTATTATTGATTATCAAATATAAAATTATTTTAAAGGTTAAATTCTGGAGGCCAACCAGCAGCAAGCAAGCGGGCATCAATGAAAATTTCGAATCCATTAAACATTTATTCATTCATTCATAACTGGCTGGTTGCATAAAACTCATTGTCATTGACTGATTTATTTTATCGTGAGTCGGTATTTACCAACAACACCTCCAAAGTGTTGTGTACTGAACGCCCATCACTTCCGTTAGAAAGGAATTTTTTTTTGGACTGACTTATAGGTCGTATGATGGTTGTGATTTGACGTCATATATCTTGATTGGTTATTAATATGTTTTGTGAGTGAAACTGAAAGTTTAATCTAACGGCCGGTATTTCAATGTCACCTTAAGGTACAGAATAACGTTAAGTCATCCTTAATACAAGTTTCACCTTACCTATATCAAAGTTCGTTTAATTCAAGGTGGATCTTAAGCCACCTGAATAAAGTCATTTCAAGTTCACCTCAGCATTAGGTAAGTCTTGATTTTAAGGTAACTGGTAACTTAGAAATACCAGCCCTTAGTTAAAGTACCCTCGACGTTAAGGTGAACTTGAAATTAGTTTTTTCAAATGACTTGAGATTCACCTTGAATTGAGGTAACTATGATATACGATGAAACTTGTATTAACGATGACTTAACATTATTCTGTACTTTAAGGCAAAGTTTAACTTAAGGTGACATTGAAATACCGGCCCTAAGTTTGAATTCAGGGTTTGTTAGCCAACTATAGACATTCTGTGAATTTCTATCAATATTCTATTAGCAAGATAGTTAAAACTTCACTTCCTCTTTTCACCTAAAAAAAATCAAACTTTTTCCATCAGCGGTTTTTTCAAAAAACACCAAAATGTCTAGAAGTCCATTAGGCTTAAATTAGGTATTGAAATTTGATTTTCTAGATTTCCCCCTTCCCCCCCCCTGTTATTTTCTCCAGAATGAATTCAAAATTTCAGTATGATGAGCTATTTCTCTTCTTTTTTTCACCCAAAAAAATTCAAAACTTTTCCTCCGGTAGTTATTTCTAAAAACACCAAAATATCTAAAATTAGTTTCCAAATAGAATTTCTTATGCTGTCATTTTTCACTGAATCAATTTAAAATTTCAGTATAATGAGCTTCTCTTCATCTTTTCACCAAAAGAAGTTTAAAAATTTTCTTCTTTTTATTGTTTTATAACAACAATTTTGCTTTAAATTTTCTCTTTATTTTTCAATTTCTCAAGCTTTGTCTATTCCTGGCTCTTAAATTATAAATTTCGTTGAATCAAGAAAATTCAGAAAAATAGAAAAAATATGAGAGCCTGGAATAGAAAAACTATGACTATACTTGTCCTTTGTCTTAACAGTTTTTCCTCATTTCGCCTCAAATTTCCTTTTATTTTTCAATTTCTCTTTCTCAAGGGATTTTTAGAAATTTTATCTTACATCTTAAAATACACAAAGTTTTCATAATTTCCGAAGTTTTCCCAAACCTGAGGGTACTACCATCCAAGGATGTCGCTTCCAGAATAAGAGTTATCGGTGTAGATACCCAAAGAACATCTTGATGCAAGAACACTCCGTTGTCTAAAAACCCAAAACGAGGCAATAGACACGGATGACTGGAAAGTGTTCAACATCAAGGTAGAACCAAAAAGTTCCATTTTCGTTGTAGGAATAGACGAGAACTCTCTGAAGGTGCTTACCAAAAAAGACTTTAAGCTTTACCTTGGTCTCACGATGCTAACTTTCAAGGTACTTGATCCAAAACCCAAAAATGCTGCGGGTCCTCCAAATAAACTTGCAGCATAAGAAGGCTATAACTGCTACTTTCTTCGAAACCTTCGAGGCAGGGGGCATTGACGTAACTCTGATCCAAGAACCCTGGACTTCAGGGAACAGAGTTATGGGTCTAGGCAACATCGGAGGAAAAATGACAAATTTCTGCTCAAGGGACATGGCAGCGCATCCAAAAGATAACCACCAAAAGCAAGCTGACGTCGATATCACTAAAAAGAGCGATTGGTTGTAAGATCTGTGATAACATATGATGCACTTGTATGATGGCCTTAAGTGAACCAAAGGCAAGCAAATCTGGAGCTAGCCAAAATCTAAAGACTTGCATGTCTTTGTGTTACCGGTGCTCAGAAAAGTACACCAACGGCAAGTATGGAAAAGATCCTAAACCAGTTCTCTACAGACAGTGACAAGACATTACTCTTGGCTGGTTTGCCCCCTATCTCTGTGCCAGAGATAAAGAAGAGCTCTCCCGTCATTTTCTCAACAAAAGTGTGGTGACTTGCTCATTCACCCTGCACTTGGATCGCGTATTAGGCTGACAATACTTTGTGTGGGTGCCCTAACTATTGGGAACGCCTTGAGCGGCTAGCTGACGAGCCTCCTGAGTATTGTTAGTGCGAGATGTCCTGCGGGGCACGAAGAAAGAAGAGAGAGAGCCATCGAAATTATCCTTCGAAGGTGAAATCAGGTTTTCGGAAAACCATAGTTCATCGAAAGGGAAACCTGCATCAATCCTCGAATTAGAGGTTGGTGTACTAGGGGAGTACTTTTCATTAGATAAAAATACCCAATAAAAGTCCTTTTCAGGATAATTGCCTGGAAGCAATTGAGCAACGTGTTTCAGTTCGATACAAAAGTGCAACATTCCTCAATTCACCTTATATCGTCAAAGCAGAGGCTAGAATCGGATCATATCATCTCCAGCTGAACGGAACCTGGAACCCAAAACCGAATGGACACGCAGCAATTACCAAAATAATCACAAACCTGATTTTAACCATGGATAGCGACTATATGATGCCGAAAAAATCCCTGGAAAAACTCTTCGGCATCGAGATTGTCCCAGTAGGAAATACCAGGGTGTATAACAACAGCTCTTTAAAATTATAGTTTATATTTCTTGGAAGATGCTAAATGCTAACCACAGATTAACCCGTCCGTAGGACGGGTTAATCTGTGATGCTAACTAAATTAATGACAAGATTAATCTACCAACTTCACAAATCCTCTATACCTTCACTGGTATAATGTGGGTATAATAATAAATATGGCTACAGGGGCAACACCTAAACAAGAAATTGTCTGGTTTACTGATGCCCCCAAAACAGAAACTAGAACCGGCGCTGGAATATATTGGACAAACTCCCAGATGCGACATCAGTCAACCTTGGAGAGAATACACTATTTGGCCTAGCATGGCCAACAAGGTAACACTTAAATGGGTGCCAGAAACCCACTGAGCCATTATAATCTCCTAATGGTAGACAGAAGCTTCAAAACCCATGAAACTTTAAAAGAAGATGTAGAAACCACTTCCATTTTATTTTAATTGGGAAAAAGGACTTGGGAAGCACCAGGAAGCTTCTGAATGTTGAACAAGCCATTATCTAC